CATAGATACATAGGGCCTCTGAGAGGGCCTTGAGCGGGATTTGATGTGCTGAGGGCAGCAGCTGCTTTTCCACGCATGGTACTATTGATGCTTTTCACTTTGTAAAGATTTTTATTAGCTGTCGATAAGTGTGTCCAAAATTTAGTGCTTCCAGATAGTTATAGTTCTCCAAATCAAGGACCAATTACTTTAATTTATGTGCAAAAACAAATCTGAAAAATATGCTTTAGAAGCTATGCATAGTTCTAATTGTAAGTTGGGCTGTATATTCAAATTGTAATTATGAGGTTTAAATACTAGAAAAGTATGTAAGGTAGTATAATTGCCACTACTTTAAAACAAATCAATTAAACACTGCTACAATATTTGTGTTATGCTTGAAAATATGTACAGTTTTTCCCAATAGTAGTACCTTATGTTTTCCTTAAATATCTCTAAAAGCGCCTTTATCTTAACATTATTTTTTCTTTATCTTTTCTAAACATTAGTAAGAGTTATTCCTTGTAGGCACTCTAAAGGAAACAATAGCTGGAAATCCCTGTCCCTTGAAATCACTCATTAAAACTCAAAATAGGATAAGTAATTAGAGCTACCTACTAATATGTAAATAAACATAATTTGTTCCAAAGATGAGATATTGAGGTTTAGTTTACGTTAATTGTAATATATTACTCGTATGCTACTGGGCATTTGACACTAAGAGCTACAACAAAGACCAAATCCGAACTGCTAATGCGGCTGCTTTGCAGTGAGTGGACAAATGTTGGTGTGTAAGATCTTAAAGTATCAATATTTCAGAACTGCAATGATTTTATTTCTAAATTCATGTACTATATATCCATAAGTGAAAATAAAATGTCATATTCTTTTCTAACTACTGTTGGTGTTCTGTACTTAATCTTGAAAGGGCTATTTTTTAATTTAGAATTTTAGAAATCATGCAAAGCAGTGCATAGTCATTATAGGGAAATGAGGCTATTTAAGTCAACATGAAGTTAAATAGCATCAAAAATCCTACTTTCCAGTTGTGATCACTTAAGAAGTTGTACTTGTCTTTATAATTATTTTTTAGTTACAGACAAAACCAGGGAAATACCTAGTTAAATATAAATGTCTCTCAAAAGATGTCTCCTGGGTGGGGTAGGAGGAAGATGTCCCCTGTCCCTACTAACAAATTTTGTCTTTTAAAACAGGACTCGCTGAAAATGTTCTCTGAGGCCACAGGAAGGTGTCTGAGCAGGAGGGAAATACTGACATAAACACCGACACGTGGGGAACTCTTGCACATGGGAAATGCGATAAAATCCTTTGGAAATGGTATCTGGGAGACACACGACATATATGTACGTTTTTAAGGCACTCATGGAAATATTCTCAACTAGAGCATAGCCTAGTCTTATCTATTCTGGTTCCCCCAGAATGAGGGTGGATGGTACCTCAGGAAAGTGCTTATTTTCCTAAAGGTTGGGGAACTGTAAAGTTGAGTGAACTGGTAGACTATTAATACAGTAGACTATTAACTTGGAATTTACTTAAACTGATATCAGGAAATATCCTAATAAAGACAAATTGTTATATCTTTTAAGTATTACATCCCCTTACAGACCAAATGAAAGTGAGATACCAACTCACACCTGTGAGAATGTCTCATATTAAAAACAAAAAGTGCTGGAGAGGGTGTAGTGAAAAAGGAATCTTCTTACACCATTTTTTTAAAGATTTTTTTTTTTTTATTTTTGCATAGAAGAACTGGGATGTAGGCAGGAGGTCCGAGGGGGTGAGAGGATTCACCAGAGAGAGTGGGGAGTAGAACAGGCAGATTGACTGAAATACACTGCTGAGGGGAGCAGCGGGTGAGACAGGAGAGGTCTGCTGTGCCATGTGGGTAGCTCCCTGGCAGGGATTGAACTCATGCTGCGGTGACTGCGGATAGCTTCATAGCGCTGAGACAACCCCTTGCGCCACCAGGGAGCCTCCAGGATACACTTTAAAGCTCACTTAGGGTTTCTTGGCCAGACCCAGTTCCTCACAGGTCTCAGTCTGACTGGAGGCTGGTGGTCCCCCTCAGTCCTCTGCCACAGTCCTCTTCAACATGGCAGCAATAAACCAGCAATCAGTAACCTGATCCTGGAAAGGTCAGCCCATCACTTATGCCATGATCTAGGCTTTAGAAGCAAGACACTAGGTCCTGGTCACTAAGGAGAGGGACTGCATGAATGTATGACTATTGGGAGATGGGATTCTCTGGGGGTCAGCCTGGAAGTCTACTACCACATACAAGGAGAGAAAAATCCGAAGGTATGATTCAGAGTGATACAGGAATCAGGGTCTCCTGCAGGAGGAGGCATTGTTACGCTGTGATGGAGATATTCTGGTTATCTAGTGCCACAGAGCAAACCGGCTCCCCAAAAGTGGCAGATGGGGCAGAGACTAGTAGGCATCTCTCCACTTGACATCAGTTGTGACATGTAGAACTGTGTTAAAAGAGAGACCTTAAAACTGTATGTAGCCAGTGGATGGCAACATGTTTAGGATTTTATGACAACTGCTTAAAAAGCATTCCCCTGCCTGTTTTCTTAGGGCTAAATCAAGGACCATTATGTTTTAATATGAATAGGAAGCTTTCTGGATGGAGTCCATGATCCAGTCATAATGTCACTGGGACTGGGCCCTCCCTGGTGGCTCAGGGATGAAAGTCTCGGTGCTATGAAGCTATTACCAGCCACTTCAGCATGAGTTCGATCCCTGGCCAGGGAGTTACCCACAAGGCACAGCAGACCTCTCCTGTCTCGCCTCCTGCTCCCCTCAGCAGTGTATTTCAGTGGATCTACCTGTTCTGCTCCCCACTCTGTCTCTGGTGAATCTTCTCACCCCCGTACCTCTGGCCTACACCCCAGTCCTTGTATGCATAAATAAATAAAATAAATCTATAAAAATTAAAAAAAAATATCACAGGGACTGTTAAGTGGACATTGATGGAATGTCCCTTTTCCTCTCCAGCTTCTCGAAGGGAGGGTGGACAAATATGTTGAGCAAAGAATTTTTGACTTCTAAAATTCTTAGAATGTTATTACTGGACTTGTTATTGGCTCAAGAGCCTGTTGAGAAATGTTCTGCTCTTCATGAAGTTCACAGAAACGAGAGCAAAACCGAAATTTGAAGCGCTTACCTGGAGAACATTTCATCTAGTGACTCATGAGCAAAACCAACAGTGTTTACTTCATGTGATTGGAAAAGTTCAAACCTGCTTTCAAAACTTTAAGGGCCCTTTTGTGATGTAAATATTCCTAAATGTATGACACATTTTCCTTCCTTCCTAAATGGACAGTTCTCAGATTTGCCTGGTTCTGAGCATAGCTTGGGCACTCAGGTGGTGCCAGTGGGCAGTGAAGGGGCAGCTACAGAAATGGAGCGTCAGTGAAGTGGTGATCCGGGACATTTGTCTTTATGCTCCTGAAGATACTGGGTCCTGAGGGCTGGTCGCCCTACTGCTGACTGCCCCCAAAAGGGGTGGCCCCTGCTCTAAAGACGGCGGCCATTACAGGGGCCTGAGAGCTGATCCCTCAGGATTCCAGAACAGGCTCTATGCTCTGTATCTGCCACTGAACATACCCACCCTCCACTTCACTCTCTGAGAGTTTTCATTAAAGAACCCTCTGATGGGAAATCAGAGGACTACTTGTGAATAGCAAATACTGGTTCAAGCATCTTACAGGCAGAGGCCTTCTCATCACTGGCCACCAGGTGGAGCCAGACGTATTGACAAGATGGCCGTTCAAGCCAACAGAAGCCCTTTCTAGCGTCTACTTTTGCTAAAGGACATTTATAACATAAAAAAGTAAAAAACAAGTAGCTATCTCCAGCTGATGTCCCAAGTGAGTGCTCGTGTCTGCAAAGATGCCCATGCAAATCGAGCCAAAGGAACTTTCTTGAATTTCATGATCTGAAGAAACACAGAATGTCAGCGCAAGAAGGGCCCCTCTCATTTTAGGCGTAACCTTATTCTCCTTATTGCAGTTTAAAAAAAAGACAGGAGACATGTGCATGGTGGACTAATGCTATATCATAAATATGGGGTGTCTTCAGTTACAGGATGCTCTGTTTGAATTATATACATTTTAGAAAACTTCTGTACAGATAAATAACTTAAAATTGATTCTAAGTGATGTTTGTGGTCTTTCCTATAAAGAGTCGACCATCAAGTCCAAATGTGACTAAGTCTTTGGGAAAGTTAGTTCGCCTTCATCCTCACAGTCGCTTCTGGCACTTTTCCCAAAGCACTAGGGCACTGCAGGCGGGCAGGGCTGTCTGCTCTGACCCCTCAGATATCCACACAAAGGTGCTTTGGGCCTGTATCAGTAGTGGGGCGATTTTTGTAGGGAGGATTTGGTCATGGACCCACTGTGAGAGATTAGAGGAAAATGACCCCCTTTGTGGGCCCCCCAAAAAACCCCTCTTTCTCTAGGGCCAATTCTATTAGTGAAGAAGGTAGCAACTGCAGACTCACTAAGTAAGGAGAACTCGTTTCACACCCGTGGCATTCAGGTACGTCATCACAGGCACCTTTCCAGCCAATCTAAAGATCACTGCCCTCTAAATATTTGGGATCATTTTGGGGGGGAAATTGTTTCTATTCCATGAAAAATTGTAGTCACATTTCAGCTCACACTGTGCCCTAATTCTAGGACTTTCCTAGAATCAAGAAACAATTGTCTTCAAGACTGTCCTTGAAAAACCTGCCTCTTCGGTGCTGAGGAGGCAGCCGGTGCAAACATGGGGGGAGATGAGGGGAGAAGGGGGCGCTTTGTGAGCGGGGCGTGTGTTTTTCCAGGGAGTCCTCTTCCTCCACGCCTTCCTGGTTCTTCTGTATAGGCTCAGGAAGATGGCAGACGGGGTACTTCTGGAGTAAGTATTTTAAAAAGCAGCTGAGGAGGTTCCACCTGTAAATAATAGCTGTAAAACCGTGAGCAGCTGACTGCAGTCTCTGGAAAGCCCAGTTCTCAGGCCACAGGAGCTGTGTCTCCCCTCTTGAGACGGCGCGTGATGAAGGTCCCCAGGGCCACCAGGGGGATGCACATGGTGGAGGAGGCCACCAGCAGCCCGATGACAACCAGCGCGTAGGTGGGGTAATCCTTGGTCACGAGCTGGCCCTGAAAGGAGAAGCCGAGAGTCGGCAGAGAGAACCTCCCCAGCAGAACCTTCTGTGCACTGGTTTTGGTGGAGTGGTGTGAGCTGGCACCTTGGGGGTCTTCACACCTTCACTGCATGCCCCCACCCCCAACACACTGCATGCTAAAGGTCAGCATTTTCTACCCACAGGGAAAGATGTGTACATTGGCCAGCAGGATTACTTAGTTTTCTCAAAAATGAAGCCAGAGCTGACCCCCAGGTGAAATACATGATACAGCTGTCCTGGTTGTTGAAATATAGACATGCTGCCTCTCTGGTTGGTGGACAGCTGCTGCCCGGGGCTGAGCAAGCCCATCCCATAGAAGCTCCCTCCAAAGCAGAGCCTCCTAGGACCCAGCAGCTCAAGTGCTATCTGGTCCCTGCAGCCCCGGGAGCCTCCACCAGGGCTCTGCTCCTGCAGGGTTCCTCCCAGGGCCAGGGAACAGGCCTCCAGGCTTGCTCAGCCTTTCCTAAGGATGCCTCCTCGGCTGGAGGCCTGCGGACTACGGAGATGTGTACAGTTCAAGAGGCAGGCACCAGGGGCTTTGCAGGGAGGCTTTTCCCCAGATTGCAGCCCACTCCCCAGCCCACCGGCAAGTCCTGGAGAGACTTAATTCTCTCCACCACAACGCGTGTTTGAAAACTCAGCCCAGATCTGCTGTCCTGGGCTGAGTATTTTGAAATACTTGAGGGATGTTTCCATGTTGTGAGGAGTCACCCACTCATGCCGTGGAAGGCGTGCCCTTGGCTTCAGAAAACTGAAGGGCTGTACTCTCAAGTGACCTTGGGGGCCCCGAGAGAGCGCTACCTGGGAGGAGTCCCAGGCTTGGTACTGCAGGGTCCCCGTGAGGATGTAGTCGCTCAGGTAGAAGATGAAGAGGCTGATGATGAGCAGCGGGCTCACGCCAGCCCACATGGCCTTCCAGTACCAGTTCAGTGTGCGGCCGGTCATGGCCTTAAGGTCATTTTCAAATCTGTTTGGAAAGCCGGGAGAGAAGGTCTGGATTAGTCAGGCTGTTGGGGTGAGGGCGGTCCAGCTTGCACATCCCTGTTAGTTCAGGAAGACTGTTCTGGGCACTACTGGCCCCTCTCAGACTCTTCTGGGAAAAGAGACATCAGGGTGGGGAGGGAGAAGACCAAGGCCAATATAGAGGGCAGCCAAGCAAGCACCCCACATCCACAGTAAGTGGGCATCAGCAGGTACTCTCACCCCGCTGGCCTTCAGGGGGAGGCTGCTGGTGCAGATGTGCAGACAGCGCCCAGCCTGGCAGGGGCAGAGCACGGGGACACCGGCCAGCCAGCCCTCACACGAGGGACCCCAGGGCAGCTCTGCCCGACCCCCCACCCTAGTGCCTATGGCAACTCTACTGCCGATGAGAAAGGGCCTCAGACGAGGCTCTTTGTGCCTTGCAATGGAGCAGGTTTTGTGGGAGAGATGGTGAGCCCAGCCTGGGACCGAAAGCCTCCCGTGTGCCCCACTGGGGCCGGCCTGGAACGAAGCCAGCACAAGGCTTCCCAAATGCAGTTGCCCGAAGATTACCATGATGACTTCGATTGTGTCTACAGACTCTTTTTTCTTTAAATTGACTCTTTGACTAAATTCAGCAATAGCACAGCCTTTTTATCAAGGAGTCAATTAAACTAATCACATGCTTTTCTAATATACTCACAAATAAGGGTGGGGAAACACCCTCAGCACTAGAGGAAAGGCTAGCCCAGCCATCTCCCCCTCCCCAGGGGAGGCACCGAGGCCTGGGGCTGTGACGTGACTTGCTGAAGAGACCTAGGCACTGAGGGGCTGACCGAGGCCTGGAACCTGGACTCGTGCCTGCCTTGCCTCCCTTCCAGAGCTTTTTAAACTGCTCCCCAAGGTGGGAGAAGCAGCCATGGAGGGGCAGGGAGGATGCAGCCATGCGCCCGGCTTGGACCTGTGGAATGTCCTAGGCGTCCATGTAAGACGGACACGCCCCGCCCCCGTGTGGCAGCTCAGCTAGCAGGAGTCTAGGCTCGAAGCCTCGAAGACTCAAGAGCATAATGTGAACACCTGGGATTTTCAAAAGTAAGATGGCAGAAAGTATTGGGGTTTGCTTGGCCTTTCCATCCACTGCTCTCGCACTTCCCAGGACAGAGAAGGGTGGACAGACCTGCAGAAAACAGGCGGCACGGCACTTCGCCAGAGGGGCCACGAGGTGGCGCTCTCACCTGTGCAAGCAGAAGGACGTCTCTGGCAGCTCTGGCCTCAGGTGGCTTACAAAGCCCTGGGCGCCTCTGTCTCTCCCCCATCCCCATCACTTACCCCACCCCCCCACCCCGGGGTGGACTGTACCCCCTCTCTAGCAACTCCAGTGGACCCTCGGTGCTGCTCCTTTCTCCCCAGCCTGCTCTTTCTCCTGATACACAGCCTCTCCAGCCACTATCTCTCCCTCTAGACTGGCAGGTCTTCTGTGACCCACTTGTCCCCGGCCACACAGGACTCTTCCCAGAGTTAGCACCTGGCAGCCACACAGACCAGCAAATCCCCTGGGGGGAGGAAACATGGATATTGGTCACTCCTCATACCCACGTCCTCAAACATTAGCAGCTGTGTACATGCTGGGGGTGGGGCAGGGGAGGGCGAATCCAATTCTTGACCCAAAACATTATGCAAATGCTGCAAATCATAACCTCCTCTTTGAGATTCACAATTGTCATTGAGGCTCTGGGAAGTCCTACAGGAAACAAATTTGAGCTTTAACTTCTTCCGTCCTAAAATTATCTGATCATGAAAAAGCCCCAGTGTGGCAGGGGACCCACTGTCTCCAGGGGCACATGGCGACAGTCTGGAAGTGCCAATGGGCCTCCCTCTGGGGTGTCATTTAAGCCCTTTGTCCCACCTTCAAACCAGTTTGGAGGAGGGGAAACGAGCAGCACCACCCTTCCATCCAGGCTGCCCTGGCAGCTTGACACGCAGGGTCTGACTCAGGGGTCAGGGCCTGCCAGCCTGCATTTCTCACACGCTCCCTGCTGCTGCGTGGCTGCCCAGGCGATCACACTCTTAGGAGGAGCAGGGTGCCCCAGACCAGTGGCTCCCAGAGTGTGGTCTCCAGTCTTACCGGAAGCTGGTGGGCCCCACCTGGTCTTACAGGCCCAGTGGTCACTGTCTGCACCAGCCCCCAGCTAAATGCACTGCAGCCTCGAAGTCGGAAGCCCTAGACCAGCGGTTCTTAGCTCAGCCACACACACCACCACCCGGGGAGAGGAAAATGTTCACCACCGAGGACCTGAGAGCCTGCATGAGCCAGCAGGTGTGAGTTATCAACCCGGCTTTGGTTAGCGTGCTTGAAAAATACTGCTGTTGGCCGATGAGCAAGTTGTCTAGTGCCTGGAGACCCAAGTCCTTGTGCCTGGAAGCCACTGGGGTCCAGCAGGGTCAACAGGCAAATGACCTATATTAAAAAGTAAAAATATAGGAAATAGAGAAGAATGGGTTAGAGGCAAAGCGAGGGTGGGAGTGAGGTCCGGCAGCCACCGAGATCTGAAGACAAAGCAAAGAACCCGGGACACTGCCAAGCCTGAATCAAAAAGCGAGGTGCAGGGGAGAGTCCCTTGCTCCTGCGGGGCACCGCCTCCCGGGCTTCTGTGCGGCTCGCGGGCGCGGCCTCCTCACCTCCTCAGCCCGTACACGTAGCACACGGCGACAGTCTCCACCAGGACGATGAGCAGCAGGGACAGCGTGGCCGCGTAGTCGTTGAATATGTCGAACCAGTAGTTCCCGGCCTCCATGGTGAACAGCATCCCGATGGCGCAGTTGACGAGGCACACCAGACCTGGGGCCACAAGACCAGCTGCTCACCGCCCGAGACCCCCCAGCTGGTCATCCAGCTTGCTGGGAGCAGCACAGCCACGGGCCCCGGGGGCCTCGGGCACCGGCTCGCCCACGGGCCTGGAAGAGGGTCACCGATTGGTGTCTGCACGCGCAGCCAGGAGCGCCGGGGTCAGGGAGCGCGGGCCCAAGGCGTGTGGGCAGCGTCGGGGAGGCTAATCTCGAAGCTGTCCTGCAGGGGCGTCACACTCCACGGGAAACTGACAGCCATGGGCTATGCTGTGCGAGTGTCACCCAGGCTGTGGGTGTATCCAGAAAATCTAGTGCCTGCGTTCCTAGGAGGCGGACTGCGGGGGAGAGACTTGACCTTCAGGGGCTGTGCCTGGTCAGCGGGTGAGGAAGGGAGCAAAGAGACCAGTGTTTATCCAGCCCCCACTACAACACAGGCAGTTGCCATGCCTTAAGCCTCTGGGAAAGTATCAGGATCCCCTTTCACAGGCGGGGATGCTAAGGTGCAGAGAGGATGAGGGACTCTCTCAAGGCACCGCTGCATGCTGCATGGCAGGATTCAGACACAGGCCCCTCTGCCTCCAGAACCTGGGTTCTTGTTCCCTTCTCCTCCCGCTACCTCCCTTGAGGACCCCACAAAGCACTTGACTCTGAGTTCCCACCTGGGGGAGAGACAGATTTATTTATTTATTTATACAAGCACTGGGTACAGTCAGAAGCGCGGGAGGGTGAGAGAATTCACCAGAGCCAGAGTGGGGAGCAGAGCAGGCAGAAGGACCGAAGTACACTGCTGAGGGGAGCAGCGGGCGGCAGGAGAGGTCTGCGCGCCATGTGGGACCCTCCTCCAGTGGCCGGGGAGCAGCCGGGGATCGAACCGGCGCTGCAGAGGCTGCGGGCAGCTTCGCAACCCAGCGCTCAACCGCTGTGCCACTGGGGAGGCCCAAGTTGAATTCTTTTGTTCTCAATCACCAGCCTAAAGCCATATGGACCGCTTGCCCCAGCAGCTCTGAGAGCCTCTATGTTTACGGACGTCTCCCCTGGGCTCTGTTTCTCCCTGCTGCTTTCTGATCATCTTTCCTTTAAACAGCTTTTCAAATTCCTCATTCTAATCTAGCCTCGAAGTACTCAAGGGCTGGGGTTTCTTTCGGGGAATAGGATCCCATTTGGCCAGGTGCACCTGGAGCAGGGCTTCTGGGCTCCCTGCAGGTGAAGCACCTGGGACCAGGTGAGACACCCCCTTTCCAATTATGGGTCTACTGTTTTTTTTAATATTTTATTTTATATTTTTGCACAATGTATGCGTTTTCATTTTGGTTATATTCCCCATACAATTGCACCCCCCTTATTTTGGCCCTAATCCTTCCTCTTCCCCACCCTTCTCCCCACCCCCTAGTGTGTCTCTGGGTCTACTGTTTAAAACAGTACAAGTCAGAATAGACTTCCGGGAGATGGGGTGCACTGATTGGGAAGGGGATCTTTGAGGTAGGGGAATTTGTTTTGTATCTTGGACCCGTGGTGGCTACTATATATATATATATAAAGTTCACCGAATCTGAAATGTCATCATCGTGTTGCCTCCATGAACACAAAGGCAGCCTCCCTCCTGGCCTGGGAACTCTGAGTGGTGGGCTGGGGAGGCTGGCCTTTTCCAAGGTGGGGGTGGCCCCTTTATCTCCCCATTGTGTAGTGAACCAGACTTGTGGGGCGAATCACATGCGCTGGGTCCCAGATGGCCCAAGATGAAGAAATGATGGCAGGACTGCTGTGAGGTGGCAGCCCCATGGCCACCCCACAAGCACATGCAGCTGCTTCCCCACATGTCCCCGCCCTCCCGGGGCCCCACCTCCTTCCTGACTGGCCACGCACCTGAGATGGCCTCCTTGGGCAGGTGTCTGCTGATGACCTTGCTGTCGGTCAGCGGGGTGAGGATGGCCGCCGTGTTCCCCAGCATGCTCCCAATGCCCAGCATCAGCAGCATGAAGAAGTAGAGCACAGACCACAGCTGGGACACCTCCATGTTCTTAATGGCCTCGGTGTAGACGATGAAAGCCAGGCCAGTGCCCTGGACTGCCTGTCCGCAGCAAGAAGACACCAGTTACACACCCAAGAGGTTTGGGCACCTGACACACCCGATGCTAGGCAACTTGGGGAACCAGGAAACCAGCCATGAAAAGCCACATGCAGAGGGGAGATTGAGACCTGTCTGCCCCCCTGGGCTAGAGAGAAACAAGGGCGCTCGGAGTCTGTGTTTGCCATATTTGTCCGGAGTCTTTGCAGTCACCTTAGGACCCTGAGTTCCCCTCTCCTGCCACAACCCACATAAATTCTGGGTGAAATATAAGATACAGTGTTTTGATACGTTCTGCTTCCAATCTTTCACTGGCTGGGTGTGCCAGGCTGGGAGCTGCGGTGGGGGGCGAGGCCAGACAGCGGCAGGGGTGTGGTGGGAGGTGGCCGGGCCAGCAGGAGCAGCAGGCAGTGCTGCTCGGGGGCCAGGTCTTCACTGAACCGTGGAAATGGACCCTGAAACTCCTTCTTAAAGACAAATCCCCTGAGGAGGCTGAAAGGGGTGCTGGGGTGGGGGTGTCGGCAGCAGTAAACCCTCTCTGGGGGAACGCTTCACCAATTTAGACCCCCAGGACAGACAGAGGCGATCAAGCAGGGCACTCGCAGACAGAGATTTATAAATCCACACAAGACCAGCCACTCGCGCAGAGAGTCCCCAGAAATAAGAGATGAGGCTTGAACACCTTCCCAAAAGTGGCAGGTGCTGTGGTGTCAGATTCAGAACACAGGTCCCCGCACTGGGGACAGTGGGGTGTCAGCTCCTTTGGGCAAACAACAAGGTGGTGATCACTTGTAGAGGATTCAAAAATATAAAACCTACCAAAGTTGATCTGCTTTCTAGATAACCTCAGTGATGAGATACATCCCCCCTCAGGCACACTCCCTATCACGGCACCACTGGGGCAGCTATGTGTGACAGTTTGAAGACACATGTGTTAAGAGTAGATAAACGTATAATAAGGAACAAATAGAAAGAACGGCAAATTTGAAAAAGAAAGTGTCTAAAAATTATTGAATTAAAATACTCCATCAACAATACCAGTAATAGCTGTGGACAGAATTCGTGAGACATCCCAGGGATGAATCCATAAGGAAGCAAAAGAGAATTTAAGAAGATGGGGGGGAGTAAAGGAGAAATCAATGTAGGGTAGGATGAGAGGCCTAAGATGGGGCCAAATGAAATTCTAAAAGGAGAAAATGAGGGAAGAGGTGATGAGCAGGAGATAACAAGCGAGAATTTCCCAAAACTAGAAAATAAGACTGTTACATGGCTCCCCAGGTCCAGGGAGGCCCCTCAGCCATGCCTCATTGGACAAAAAAAATACATCGTTAGACAACAGAAGCCAAAGACAGAAGGAAGATCACGAGAGAAATAGAACGAGGGAACTCGCTGCTTGCAGTGAACCACAGAACATGCAGCAGCAAGAGCGGCAGCCAGAGCCACAAAGTGAAAACCTTTAAAGTGCTGAGAGAAGATACTGCCAACCTGGAGCTTTCTATTCAGGGAGAAAACTGTCTTTTAAATGCGAGCATCAAATACAGACATTTACCTGTAAACAAAACCTGAGAAAATTTATCATCAAGAAACCTGCTATAAAGGAATAAATTTTAAGGGAGGAAAAAACCCCACTGGACAGCTGGGACACAAGAGAAAAAGGCGAATAAATAAAATGGCAAACATGTATGCCCATGCAATGCGCTCTGCATACATGAGCAACGGCCTCCAGTTTACTGGTTTTAAAGGTGGGACTGGACAAGAAAGGTATTTAAGCAAGAGGGATGAGATGACGGTGTTCTAAAGCCCTTGTCCTGTTTGGGAAGAGACAAGATACTGTTTAACTTCTGAGTGTGTGGAGTTAAATACGCATGAAAAAGTTCAAAAGAGACATGGAGTGTACACATTCCAACAGGAGAGAATAAGGGGGAATGTTGGGGGGATAAAAGAGAACAAACACAACAGGGGAAAAAGTCAATATAAATCAATAATCATATAATTTGTGGACAATGAACTAAGCTTAAAAACAAATGAGGAGGGCCTCCCCGGTGGCGCAGCGGTTAAGCGCTGGGTTGCAAAGCTGCCCGCAGCCTCTGCAGCACCGTGGTTCGATCCCCGGCTGCTCCCCGGCCACTGGAGGAGGGTCCCGCATGGTGCGCAGACCTCTCCTGCCGCCCGCTGCTCCCCTCAGCTCCCCTCAGCAGTGTACTTCGGTCCTTCTGCCTGCTCTGCTCCCCGCTCTGGCTCTGGTGAATTCTCTCACCCTCCCGCACTTCTGACTGTACCCAGTGCTTGTATAAATAAAATAAATAAATCTTAAAAAACAAAAAATCTAACCAATCATTTAAAAAAAAACCAAAAAACAAAAACAACAAATGAGGAAAAGTCCCAGAGGTTGAAAACAAAAAAGGCAATTCGAAATGAGAAGAGCAGTAGAAGCCAAAAGGCTGAACAGGAACTAGGCCTTAAAGGCTGGGGGCTGGGGCGGGGGCTGGGGCTGGGGGCTGATGCAGGAAAGGGACTGTGAAGGGGAGGCCGTGTCAGGGGCCTGTGTGAGCAGTGAGTCCGGAGAAACACTACGGCTTCATCCATGGAATGACCTAGAACGCCTTCACCCAAGGAACTAAGTGCTAATTCCTCCAAGGTAGGTAACCAGAGCTATGGGTCTTCACGATTCTCTGGTCTTGAAGAGTATTCCCTACAAACGCTGTCTAGAAGTAATGACATATAAGAATTAGACAGCTTTGCCCACGCTCACTTCCATTTCCGTTGTGGTAGAAGTCCTAGCAAATGCAGTAACCAAGAGGAATCGAGACATAAGGATTGAAAATAGAAATGCAAAATTGTATCTGTAGGTGATGTAAGAGTTTACTTAGAAGATACTGGCAAATATCTAGACAAATATGGTAATTAATAAGAGACTTTCTCAGGGCTGCTAGAAACAAGATCAACATACAAAAAGCCATTAACGTTGTTCTGTAGGAAAAAATTTAAGTGATAGAGGTAGGAAAAAAACAGCACCATTTACAATAGCAACAAAATAGTGTTTATAATTGTTCTGGTGGTGGATATATAAGGGCGTTTGTTACAGTATTCTCTGCGCTTTCCTATGTTTTTAAGCCTTAAAATGAGAAAAGGAAAAGAAAAGTCACAGAGAACCCAAAGAAATTTATATATAATCACTAGGGTTCCGGGGTGGTGCTGGGGTGCGGGTGGTCAGGGCCCTCTTGTCCTGTATTTCTTGCTCCCGACTCTCAAAGGCCCCTGTGATGCGTGTGGAGAGAAGCAAGCCCAGACCTCACTGTGCCTTACCGTGTCCAGCTCTGCTTCCAAGCTGCAGTTTTTGATTTGTGGAAACACTTCGCCATATTTGTCAGGGAAGGCAGATGCTAAATAGCCTTTCACCTGCTCCAGGTTGCTGGCGGTCAAAAAGCCATCTTCAAGGTCAAAAGCATTGGTCAGCAGCAGGATCACCCTGCAGAGCAGAACATCAAATTGACCCTCACTTATTAAAAGGCCAGGTCACCAAACCTCTGGGCCTAGCTGTCTCTCCCCTGACTCTTTCCTGACTAGGTGACATCATCCAGTAAAGGGCTCTGGGGGCTGGTGACCTTCCACAAAGCAGGATGATTCTGAGTGGCTTTAAAGTAGCCTCAAATATGCACCAAAAGAAACTGCACCCACGCACCCACGCTGTTTTAACCTCTGGGCGGGCATTTCCGACAGAATTTTCTGTGGTGATGGAAATGAAACGTTCTACAGCTGTGCTGTCCACTGTGGTCCCCCCGACCACATGCGGCAACTGAGCACTTGACTGTGGCTCAGTGCAACAGGGGAACCAAATTAAATCCATTGGAAACCTTTAATTACCTTCAAAAACTTAATTACCTTTCAGTAAGATTAAATTAAGATTTAAATTCATTTAAATCAATCTATATTTAAATTTGTAAATACCCCTTGTGGCTAGTGACTGGTGTACTGGACAGCTGACCTCCTGGACGTGTTCTTGTATTTTGGGTAAGGGGTCTCAGAAAGTAGACTCGGTGATCCCCATAGCTCAGTTAGGGAGCTCTAGTAACTTCTGAGGCGGGGAGGTGGGGGCAGAAGAATCTAAGGACTTTTGTTGAATGCCCTGTTGTGCTGGGTGCCTTGAAGACATGGAGTTGCCTTCGTCACTTCAGGCAGATGCTGACCTGCCGATGGTGGTGGTGGGGAACTGGACTTGAACCCTGGATTGAGGGCTGTGAACTGGGTGCTCCCTGCCCCACACCTCTGACTTCTCAGCCCCCACCTCCCTCAGCTCAGAGCTTTGGAGCCTCACCTCCCAACTTGAGGTAGAGGCTCCCCGGGGCCACCCTGTCTTACTTGTTCAGGCAACTTTCATAGTTGAAGGTGGCCTTGAAGCCATAGATGGAGAAGGTGACGATGCTGGCGAAGATGGAGGTGGAGCTGTTGATGAGGGACACGATGATGGCGTGCTTCTGGCAGTTGTTAGAGGGCTCATTGTAGCTGGCAAAGGCGATCAGGCTGCCAAACCCCAGGCCGAGGGAGAAGAAGATCTGGGTGGCGGCATTGATCCAGGCCTTGGGGTTGGCCAGTTGCTCCATCTGGAAAGTCAGCGGCGGGGGTGGGAGGTGTGCAATTGCAAAGTGTAGGGGCAAATCATTCAGAGAGTGATGGAGACCCTGATCCAGGCCCAGGCAATTTAAAGGGTCTGGGCCCCAGAGACAGGGGTGGTGTGGCCCGGTAGAGGACATTAGGGGACATTTGGAATGTGTGTGGGGAGGGGGGTATTTGAGCAGTAGCTGCCATAGTCATTTTGTTTCCAGGCACCAGATTTTCTAAATGAACTTATTCTGCCCAAAGGCAATAGATGTCCCCCCAGCAATCTCCCTGCCCCATTCTAGGGTCTAGTGGGAGGCTGGGAGGGATCATGGGAAGCTCTGTGGATGCTCCCCTAGAAGCATGTGAGCAGGAGGCCAAGATGGCCGGGGTGGAGTGCTACAGTCCAGAGGAGTTCCTAGTGAGACTAGGGGTCTAGAGGCCACACGTGGGGTTGGGGCAGCTGACAGCTGGGTGTGGTGGACAAGGGGTTAATGAAAGACTTAAAGCCCTACAATTCACAAGCTTTGGGGACTGCCTGTCTGAGGAGGTGACCCAGTATCAACAGGGAGCCCACACCCAAAGTCAAGTGGGCACACGTGCATACACACACAGACACACACACACACACACACACACACACACACACACCGGTACACTATGGTTTTCGCCCAGCCTCTTTCTTCCCCTCTTTCCACCCATCCTGGAGGGTGGCAGGATGAACAGGTGCACCCAGGGCCCCTCCCCTGTACCTTAGGGGTGAACATGTACATCAGGCCATTGATGGCTCCATGTAGCGTGAGGCCCCTGATCAGGTAGATGATGAGCACACAGTAGGGGAGCGATGCCGTGAAATACACCACCTGCAGGCACCAGAGGGCACAGTCAGCCTCCTGGAGATGTGGCAACCACAGGCTCCTTAGCCCAGGTCATGGCTGCTCTCCCCAGGGAATGCCGCGCTCATGGGTGTTCAGGCTATTGACAGGTGGAAACAGGAGGGAGATTCTTGGTCAGATGCAGCAGCTGAGTTGGGCTGGAGAAATGGGATGGTGGTGGGACATGGTTGCCCATGGCTGCCACGAAGATCTTTCGGTAGAGAACAGGAAACAGGTCTGAGGATGGATTTGAGGCCATCCACAAAATGTGTCCATCACATTAACATTTTTAAATTGCTAGATAAAGAAATTAGTGTAAAAAGAAAAGGTTGGCAATCCAGTAAGATGAGCCCAAAGGAAAAGGCAGCCCCAGAATTTGCATGTGAGGCTCTGCCCAGTTTCGGAGGCTGATTCCTCTCTAGCAATCTAAGCAGAGCAAGAAGCCCTGGCACACACACAAGTTCTGTTCTCTGTAAAAGGAAAAAGACTAAGGGCATTGGAGGAAGGACAAGTTTTCCCAAGACAGGGGCCTGAGGGAGGCTTGGCCATGGTACTTCTAGAGGGAAAGTAGTGAGGTGTGGTACAGGGGACAGAGTCCCCTGGTAAGTACTAGAAGCCAAGGATCCCATGCATATAAAGACTTGATCTCCATGGGCTTTAAAATTCCTCATCAATGAGATTTTTTTTTTGTCAGCTGAATCTTCTTTTCCTGTTGACATGCATCTCAAGTTCAATGATGTCTTATCTTTGGTTTTCATGGCAGTTCTTCAGTAGCCTTTCATTCTCTGGATAATTCTAACTTTTACAAACCCTTATAATTGAGGCCTTAAAGGGCTTGTATGTCCACCAAGGACAGAAACTGTTTCTGAATACCAACGTGTATATGCACCAGAGCCCCTCATGTAAAGCAAAGAAATATATTGTAAGATTCGTTTTTGGAAAGCAATTCCTTAAAGTTTGGGTCCTACTATGAAGAATCTAGCTGGGGACCATGTCCAGATGGGATGGGCTTGAATTGCACTATTTCGGGTGAAACCTTTCACTAACCGCCCCAACATACTTCTGGCCTACACCACTTCTTCTATGCAATAATCAATAAATAAATTCTTAAAACAAAACAAAATAAAGTATTTTTTATGGGACAGAGGAGTTGCTGTAGTCTCTCAGCTCTCCCAGAGAACATTCTCTAGTCCCTCAATTTGGCCATAAATGGGTGTTATTGGGGCTAAGACACTGTCATCATGGGATCTTGGAAACCAAAAGAAAATGCTCTGCCAGGCCTGGTGCTAGGACTGTGATGGGCAACCTGAATACTGTGGGTTGTTCCAGTTTTGGTACTTCAAGAAAAACATGGCGCAGCTGGAGGAGGTAACTCAGGAGGCCAAGAGGCTGAGGACAGGTGAGCTCTTAGGACCTTCAGAAGGGAGAAGGTAAGAGAGATTAAGACAGGGAGAACGTGGAAAGCGCAAACAAGGGGTGTCTCACCAAACCGAGACAATGGGAGGCTTTGGGGTGAAGCTAGGTCTAGCCTGGCTCTGTTCTCACTAGCTGGTGCCCGCGGGCAGGTTGCTTTAATATCTGTCTGTCTCAGGAGAATGGGATCATGAAATCTACCATGAAGGGTTGTTGCAAGATTGAGACACTGTGCGTGGCCCACTCATGTGGATCCCCGATGAGGAGTGACTGAGGATGGGCATCTGCTGAGGCTTGAGCAAGGTGGCTGGTGTTGGAAAGACCAAGAAAACCTGCTCCATGAGCAGATTAAAGTTAAATGAGCAGCTCAGCCCAGCAGGCATGTAAACCCAGGACTGCACCAAAGAAAAAGGTCCATCAACTAGGGCTGACAACTCTGTAGGGGCATTGAAAGCAGCTTGGCGCAAAGGTTCTCAAGTTGGGCTGCACATTAGAATCAGCTGCTGCAATGGCAGCCCCATTGATAGCTCCAGAGCCCATGGGGGTTGGGTGGAGAATTCAGTTTTTAAAACCTCCCAGTGTGATAGCAGAACCGCAGAGAGGGAGTCTTGGGGATAGCAGCAGTCATTCAGTCTTTATATGGAAATAGAAATTCACTATTTGCTTGCTTGGCACCACTCAGGGAGAATGGGCTTGGGGTCGGCTGATGTATGGAAATGCTCATCTTTTTAGGTGTAAGGAATATCCTGTTTCAAGACGTAAGGCTGCAACTACAAGCACCTCTGGCCACCTAGTAGGTGATGTGTGCCAGCAGCACCACCTGTGCTGGGCTCTCTAGTTGGCTTCTGTCCCCTGACTGCAGAAGGAACCTGTTGGCCTGGCCCACGTTGGGGTAGAGGCTGCAGCTGCCCACCCCCCACCTCCCACCCCTCTGCAGCACCTGCCCCTGGGACTCGCCAACCCACCTTGCCAGTGGACTCGGTGCCCCGCAGGATGCACAGGTACACCACGAGCCAGGCCAGAATGAGGCACAGTGCTGGCTCCCACTGCACGCCCCCGTTCTCCTGGATGGATGGAGAGATGTTGAGGGTCTTTCTGTACCAGAAGTACTGTGTGGACGAAGCCTTCTCGCACTCCTCATCCAGGCCCGTGTGGTTGCTGTTCAGGGGACAGACAGACCACGGCAGGGGATCCTTTGGGATTAAAAGGAACATCAGACAGAGAGATGAGGGCCGAGGCCAAATGTCAGGGTGGGAGTGAAGGGAGGTAGCCTGGACAGGAGGCTCTCGGAAGAGAAGGGAGCTGGTCCCCAAAAGGCAGAGGCCAGGGACCTGAAGGCAGACAGGGAACTGGAGAGTTTGTCAGCAGGCACAGACAGGGCTTGGGAATGGGAGGGGGCAGGGAGAGGCTGGGAAGAGGGGGCTCCACACTTCTTGCAACCCCTCAGGTGTTCACTGAGACCATGGAATTCTGTTGTGTCTGACAGGCCGAATCAGACAGACAATGGCCAGACAATCTGCGACAACTGGGCTCTGACCCGCAACAGCTGCAGCAGCCAGCCCAGGGGCTCCAGCTCAACATCCGCAGCTGGCCCAGGATGGTCAGGACTTGGTCACTGACCACCAGCTTCCCTGGTGCGTGCTCTCTCTTTCAGGACTAGCCCGACAAGCCCGACTCCCAGAGTCAGCCTGCCTGGAGCCCCCCCAGGCCCACAACGCCTACAACTTCCCACCAGGCCGCTCCTGGGCCCTTGCTCTTTTCCACTAGCTCTCTACGCCCCTGCCATCCTTGGCACCTCTGCCAAGTGAAGTGACGGTGCAGGCCCCCTCGCCACTGCGAACTCTGAATAAACAGCCTCTGCTCGTTCTCCCTGGGGCGGTTTCTGTTATTTCCACAAGTCCTGGGCCAACATTGTCAAGTCTGCCCTCGCTGAGGTGGTGGGGACAGGCATGTCCTACACTGGGCAGACATCTGGAAATCAGAAGAGGATGAGGTTCAGCCTCCCCACAGCCATCTTGTCATCTAGGACAGAGAACGTGTGCTGGTGACTCGCTTTAGGCCTGAGTCAGACTATACCTCTGTCACTCAGCAACAAAGAGTCTAAATAGTACAATGAACTTGACCTAAAAGTACCAAAGAGAGTTACTGTGCTGAGGGGAGCATGGTGGATTTCATTCTGACTTGTGAGGAGTTAGGGGGTCCTATCTGTCCTGCCAAGACCCACATCTACCACTTTCACATCTACCTGGTTTGCACAAACTTAGACTTCATTAGACAAAAACTGTCCAGGGACAGAAGTGAGTCTGACCCCACTGGGCTCAATTCTGCATTTCATAGGAAACATAACTGAGGCCCAACGGCATTTCCTTATGAGACTTGGCTGCCCTGCCAGTGAGCAGCTGGAGCCAGGTCTGCACACCCTCAGAGTGCTTGGGGTCCATGCTAGTGGGACCCCTGACAGCAATCAGGGGTCCTTTGCCCATTGGCATTTGACCCAGAGTGTTTCCAAAGGAGGCCACTAACACTTCCAAGGGGTGGCATCTACTGCCTTTCCCGCTGAATCTGGGTCGGCCTGTGACTTGCTGTGGCCAGAAGAGGGCAGTTAAGTGATACTGGGTGAATTCCAGGGCTCTTTTCAGCCTCTTGGAAACCAGTTGTCAGACAGACACTGAGGCTAGACTGCTGAGTGATGAGGACTTGAGGAAAGGACTGCCGTGCAGAGGGAACAGCCTGCACCAAGTGCAGGCCCAGTGACAGCCTGCACCAAGCCCCCGTGGGCGGAAGGGTCCCTTGAGGACATGAAGCCCAGGGGAGACCCGGCCTGCAGCCCCCTGGCCACTTAGTCTCTGTGGGACTCATTGGCCCTGGGCACATGCCCCCAGCTGACCCAGTTCCCAGTCTTGGCGCCTAGACTGAATCACCCGAGGGAAAGAGGAGACATTAAAAATGCCGTGTCCGGGGGTACCCCAGTACCACTGATTGCATTGGTCAGAGGTGGGGCCTCAGATTAGGAGTTTTAAGAGACCCCCAGGTGATTCCAGGGCAGAGCCAGGTGGAGCAGCTGTGGAGAACGGAAAGAAGCGTGTGTTAAGTGAGCCAGTTTCCAGCACCCTGTCTCTCCCACGGGAATCTGCCTTTGTACAGCCCGCAGGGCTCCTGCTGGAAAGGTCAGGCCTGAGGCTGGGACGCCTGCCTGGAGGTGGGGTGGACAAGAGCACAGGCTCTTGGCCCGGCCATCTGCATCTAATCTCACAGCTACTCAGGTCCTCAGTGTCACTGGGCTGTGGCGATGATGACATGAGCAAACACTTCTAACGTGCTGGCGATTCTCCCCGGCCCAGAGCAAGTGTCAGTGCCGCAGGCCACTGCTGTTGCTGCTGGGGCTACGTGACCAACCACTCCGGCAGAGGCGCTGAGGGAGAAGCCACGCCCCTGTGAAGGGTGGACTGCATAGTGAAGAAATTTTCAGGAATTGCTGACCCTCATGAGTCTGAGGGTTAGAAAAGATGTCTCCTTTTTGAGACACTTATTTTACTGTTAAAAAGTGGTAAACTTAGTCTGACTTCGTTAGAACAGGACATGTTGCTTCTATTTTTGAAAAATTATCTCCATAAGTATACAAATCTATAATGCCTGCAACATGTATGACAGCCCCTTAGTTGGCATGTCATCGTGCAGAGCACAGCCTGCCCACCATGCAGGACAAGCCTGCGCAGAGGCCTCCAGGCTGCAGAGGAAGAGGAGCCACCTGCTTCTACTCAGAGGTAGGTCGTGGCCAGTCTCCATGGACATCTAGGCTGAGCTGGGAAGAGGCTGATGGGCTGCAGCTAGACTCAGGGAAGTTAGGCTCAGGGAAGAACACCCTGTCAGGAGATTTTCTGATGCGATGACCTGGGTGGAGTTTATTGGGCAGCCAGAGCTGGGTGTGGAGGTGGCATCTTCCATGTGCAGATGCCTAGCCCCGATGATCCAGGTAATTCACCCAAGCACTCCTTACAGGGCCAATGGTTCCAGGTGGTTCCCGAGCGCCCCGGAGAGTCAGTCCACAGTTCATGGCCGGCCCTGCCTTGCTCTTGTCTCATTAAAGGGTTGGCTCAGTGGCAAAGGGTGAGGCATGTGCCCAGTTAGTTCCTGTCTCCTCCCCTCCTTTCCCAGCTGGGGAGAAACTGTGAAGGAGCAGGCTGCTGGAAGGCGAGCAGGAGCAATGGGGAGCGTGGTCCCTTGAGAGTAAAAGGCAAGCTCTGGCAAACATGGAAAATCCCTTGTCTTGGAATCACCTCTCAAAAATCACCTCACAAAAATGACCTCTCAGTGAGGGATTAGGGCTCTCTCTTCTCTACAATTTTCAACCTCTTCCATATTTTCCATAAAAATATGGTTATCATTTTAATGAGAAACCATTTAAAATGTTTGTTTTTTGGAATAGTCGCTTTTGTGTTACATGGGGTGACAATAAGAACGTTTGGTCTGCAGGGTAAAAGAGGGGCTCGGCCTGGAGTCAGAGATCTGGAAGGACAAGTGACAGGAGGAAGCAAGCTGAGAGGAGGCGGGGAGGGGGCCACCCTGTCCACTGTGTTGCTGGAGTCCTCCCCATCAGATCTCCAGAGTTTCTCCTGGCCAGTATCAGAGGTTCTTAATATACTGGAGTCACAGCCTTCAGAGAGAACCCAGGGAAAGCTGTGGGCCTGCTTCCCATATGCATATACTCATACATATATGCATGGTGTGACTTACAATTCCAGGGGCCCAAGGACCCCAGGTTCAGAAGCCCCTCACTTGGCTTGGGGTACTTAGCCTCCCACCAGCCCTTCCCACCACTTCCTGATCCCTTTGGGGCCATGGCCCTCAACCTTCACCTCTGCCTGTGGCCCTGCTCTCAGCCTTTCCGGCTCCCCTCTGCCTGGGGCGGGCTCCTCTCACCTGGAAGGAGTGGAAGAGGTACCAGAAGGCCCAGGCGTTGATGACGTTGTAGTACATGGACAGGAAGAAGGACACCACCACGCTGGCGACACCTACAAGGAAGCAGAGGGGCCCTGAGGAGGCTCTTCTCCCGCCCAAGAGCAGTGGCCCTGCCCACCACAGGCCTCAGGAAGTGCCTGCAGTGATCGCCCTGGGTGGCAAAGCCTATTTCAGGAGATTCCAGAGGGGTAAAGGTGACCTGTGAGCCCTTTCTAAGTGCTCTCTCCCCACCTTCTGGACAGGAGGTTGATGACAATTTTTGAAATCTAAGTGCCAGGTGTTATGCTGAGGATTTTATGTGATGTAAGACCTGGCGATGTTGCTGTGATGGGGTATTTCTATCCCTATTTCAACAGGAGAAAGGTGCGGCTCTTGTCCAGGGCCATTGGGCCATCGGGCCAGTGATAAGTGGTGGAAGAAGGACCTAAACCGAGTGCGAGAAGCACTGTCGCTGCCAAGACCCCTCACGCCAGACATTCAGGTAGCCCTTCTTACCTGAAGTGGGCTCACTTGAGTCACCCCTGCCTGGTGGTGAGGGGAAGAGAGCTGTGGGGTGGTGGGTCAGGAGCGGAGGGGGATGCCCCCACCGGGTCAAGCTTGTTGGGGTCTGGGTTGTGTGGGCATCTGGTTACAGTCAGAAGCTGGCTGTGGCAGGAGCTATACATCACTGTCTCGGCGAGTGTTATAGGCCTACCTCAAACCCAAGCTCCTTGAGAGCCATCAGTTAAACATTGCCCAGCACCCTGACTGGTACAAACCTCTGGTATCTGTCCTATTACACAACAAATACTGCCTCAGAGAGCCCTCTGGGGTCACTTACTTGGGCAGATTGTAAAACCACACACCTCCATGTTAAAAATTAATAGCCTTTCAAAGTGAGGAGATAGCTTGGTTTGAAGATGAGGCCACAGGGCACATTTCTTCTGCAGCCAAGACTAGGCCACATACGCATTTACCCTCCATTGCTCCTGAGACGTCACTCTGCTTTCCTGCCTGCCTTCCTGTCTGGGGGCAGAAGGGCGGAGTGGAACAGACGGAGGCCATTGCTGGTCAAATTCCCTCCTGCCCGCAGAGGCAGCCCTGGGATGTGAGGCTGCCAGGGCAGGTGATTCATGTCCTGGAGGTGTCGGGACAAGGTGTGAGGAGGTGCAGGAGAGGCGGCTATGAGCAGCTCTCCTCAGATTCCACACGCTGGAGATACTGAGGGAACCTCCCCATCTGGCCACCTCTCAGTGGTGTGGCCAAGGTTAAATGAGCTTACACACACACAGGCCAGCACAGTAGATGCCCACTGAAAAAGAGAGGCCTTGTTATTAAGTAGCAGCGTGTGGTTTGTGAGTTCCCAGAATGGAGTGAGGACCTTGAGTCATTGTCAGGCAGTTACTGCCCTTTCACAGAAGAGCAAACCAAGGCTCAGGGGAGGGAAGCACTGTGGTGTCATTTCCCTGCATCATTTCTCCCTTTCTCAGCACCCTGTGTGTGGGAAGCCAGCCCCTCACCACACTCGACAGCACCCCTCCTGGGTCACCTGCGCACCCCTCTCAAGGACTCTCTCGGACTTCCTGCTGGCCCCTTGCTCTGGGAGCTTTGTCAATGGACCCCCAGCCCCACCCGTGCTGCCAGGATACTCTCCCTCTCCACGTGGGAGAAGACTAGGGAGCACTTCACGTACCCACACCGCTGAGGTAGGGGCTGATGGTCCTCCAGGCGCCGATGCTGCCCTGCCGCATGCGCTGCCCCACCGCCAGTTCCAGGTACAGGAGCGGCATCCCCTCCACGATGAGCATGATGATGTAGGGCACGAGGAAGCTGCCTGCGGGCGCCAGAGCCGAGAGCCAGGCTGTCACCAACAGGCTTTCCTTGCAGCCGATCCAGCGTCTGCACACTCCTCCTTCCATCCACCCCCCCTGCCTCCCTTCCGTCCCTCCATGCGTCCTTTTGTACGTGTGCCTTGCCATCCTCCCACCCTCCTGTCTTTTCATTTATCTCCTGTCCTTGTCTCAACTCTTCCACCTTCTCATACACCCTCTGTAAGTCCTCTTACCATGTTATATCTACATTTTCTTCCACCATCCATCCACCCATCCAAACTCTTGTTTTTTCTTTCCCTCACACCTCCATCCTCCCGTCTTTCCACTCACTCTCCACTCTTCACCCACACATTTTCCTACCCACCACTCACTCACTATTCTTTTTCTCCATCCGTCCATCCATCCATCCATCCTGCAGTCTACTTCTTGATCCATCTCTGTCCATCCATTGATGGGTGACATGCAGCTACATCACTTGTTGAAATCTATAAATACTTCCAACTTGAGAGGTTCATTACCACTGTCCTAAGCTCCCTGAGTGCCTTCCTCGGTGCCTCAGCTAACCCCAACCCCCATTTCATCTTCTATTCTAATGTGTAATAATTGATCACAGCCAGGACCACTTAATTGTTAAATATTTTCAATATTACCCCTGACTCCATCCATCCATCCATCTGCCAATCCCCATGCTCTTGCCTTGGGCTTCTGGTGCAGCCTCAACAGTACCCCACAAGGAGGGGTGTATGGAACAACCATTTTACTAGCACTTTCTCTGGGTCAAGCCCTGAGCTTGGGAGATTAGCAGTCCTGCTCCCTGCATTGAGGGATCACCTGGGCAGAGGAATTTCATTTGTTCAGATCTCCAGACCATTTCACCAGACTCGCTATCTTCAGAGATGAGGCAGGGTCTTGGTGTATATGTGTGGGGATACAAAGGAGCCCCAAAAAGCAGAGTCCAGGCCACTGCCTCCTTCCACAGAGCATCCCTGTTGTATGTGTCCCTGTTCTATACAATGACCTTCAGTCTAAAATTTTATTTTAATAAAGGGTACTATGACTAATAAAGTTTTTAAACCACGGTTTTCAAGGACCCATCTGCAGTCAAGCATCCTTGGTGGTAGTGGGGTGCTGGGGAGCTGAAATAGGGCTTCAGGAGACCTCCCCACTACCAGATACATGGACAGAGCAGGCAGGCTGGAGCCAGCACCTCTGGCCAGCAGCTGGCTGAGGCCTGCTTCTCCTGTCGGTTCTGCTCCCTCCTTCTCCACACCGCCTCAGCCAGCCCTGCCCCAGCTCCCGCTGCTTGGCAGTGGACCTGAAAAAGGTCCAGTGGGAGAAGAGGGCAGGGCTTCTGATTAAAATAAAACCCTGAAGGAAGGCTGTGGGGATTAAAGACCGGCCACAGGAGAAAGTGGCTCTGAAAGTGTTGTGACAAATGACAAAATGTATATACCTACGTAAACCTGCAATAGTTAAAAATGCCTCCTCTGCACACAGCGCACCCTCTAGCCCGCTCTGGCCCAGGGTCATAACCACTCGCCCGCCTGAGGCTCTGCGTCGCCCTTTAAGGAGCTGCACGACCGCGAGGACAATGAGCTCAGAGTTCACTTCATCTGTCCTGGGCACTAAGGCGCGTGCCAGTTTTCTGCCACCTAAACAAAGCTGGGGGGACAAAGCCTGACCCACATGTTGGGTTATTTCCTCAGGATAGAGATCCTGGAAGTAGAATGGCGGGCAGCGAGAGGGAGGAGCGCCCCGCGGCCGCCCTGCAGCCTGCACCCGGGCAGCGGCCCACAGCCGCCAGCAGTCCAGGGCTGTCCTCTCTGTCCTCTCTCTTCCAACTCTGCTTTGATGACTCAGCGGGGCCCTGCTCCCTTCCTGCTCTGCAGAAACGTGTTTCAGCACCTTACCAGGCTCCTTTCCATATGAAGGAACCCAAGAGGCTGTCAGGGGCTCCCATCCAGAAAATACCTGACAGTAAAGGTTGTGTTGGCACAATCTGCTTGGAGCAACATTCAAACCCCGAGTGGTTATAAGCAAAGCTCATTTTCACGCAGAGTGTTAAACAGTAGCCACACGAGATCTGGCAAGGTCCACTGAAGGCTTTTCTCTTTCACAGGGTCTGCCCGATGGCCTACTGCCCATGGGAATGGTGGAAATCCAGGGCCTAGTTCCCAGGTGGGAGCACAGGGCCCCTTAGCACTGCCATCAGTAACTTCTATTACCTCTACCAAGCATCTGTTCAACCCCCTTCAACTCACCCCCGCCCCCACCAACCATCCATCCACCCTCTACCCCCCTCCCTGTCCAAACAAATTACACAATCCTGGTGAATTTGTTCTGCAATTGTTTTTCAACTACAATGCTGGAAAATTGAAATCCATATGCAGAAAGACAAACCTGAATCCATATCTCATATTTTATACCCAAAAAAATTCTCAAAATGGATCATAGACCTAAATGTGTAACTATGAAAGGTTTACAAGAAAACATAGGGAAAAAAATTATGAACTTGGATTAGGCAAAGATTTACACACAATGTCAAAATCATTGTGAGAAGAAAATATTGATGAATTGGACTTCATTTTAAAATGCTGCTCTGAGAGACACTGCTAGGAAAATTAAAGACAAGCTACAAACGAGGAGAAAATACTTGCAAAACACATCTGACAAAGACTTTGTAACTAGAATATATAAAGGACTCTCAAAACTCAATAATGAGAAAACAAGGAACTCATTCAAAAAAATGTGAAAGAATTTGAACAGAGCTTTCAGTAAAGACAATACATGAATGGTAAATTAGCACATGAAAAGAGGCTCAACCTCATGCTCATTAGAGAAATGCAAATTTACACTTCATACACCTATTAGAATGGCTAAAATAAGAAATGTTGATGATACCAAGTGCTGGCAAGGATTTGGAGGAAATCCCATACGTTGCCAGGGGAAATGTGATATGGTACAGTGTTCTGGAGAGCAGGTGGGCAGTTTCTTATAGTCGGGTATATACTTACTCTATGACTCAGTGATTATACTCCTAGGTATTTACTCCAGAGACACAAAGATTTTGTTTACACAAAAAACCTATACATGAAGGCTTACAGCAGCTCTATTCATTGTTGTCAAAAATTGTGATTCAATGGGTGAATGGATAAATGATCTCTAGTATATCCATACAGTGGAATAATGGACAATAAAAAGGGACAAACTACTGATATTCAGAACTCACAGGTGAATTTCAAAAGCATTTGCCTGAGAGTTACCAGGTTTAGAGGTTTAGAGGTTACACATTATATTATTACATTTATGTGACATTCTGGATAAAGCAAAACTCTAGGGGCAGAAAACTGAGCTGTGGATGTGTGGGAGAGTGTCTGACTATAAAACCTGTGATTGTGGTGGTGGTAACACAACTGGTTGCATTTGTCAAACTCATAGTACAAAATGAGATAATTTTTCTACATATATCTCAATAAAAGAAAACTTTTGTGATAAGTTTGAAAACAAATCCACTGACTGACACTTTTCCAATTCTACCATTCCTCATGCTCCATTTGGGTAAAAATTCTGACACTGATTCTGTATTGGGGTGTCAGGGGGATGAGAGATGTGGGGGAGCAGCTCTGGCATCACGGAGAGGCAGACAGGGAGGGGCCTGGAGAAGGGTGCGTTGCTCCCATGTATCTTGATGGGGCAAACTATGGGAGATTAAATGTCTTTCAGCTATTCCTGTGAAGACGTGGAGTCTATCTTCCCACTGGTGAATTTGGGGTGGCCTTGGGCTTTCTTTGCTCGATAGGATGTGGGGGAAAATGCAGCATGAGTTCAGAGCCCAGGCCTTGGGCCGTTGCACCATCACCCTCACCCTTTTTACACGCGCTCACTAAGATACCAGGTAGGAAGGCAAGTGCAGGTTACCTGAGGACGAGCAGCCAAGTGAGGAAAATCAAGGACCCCGTCAATGCAGCACCAACCACTAACATCCGAGGGAGCTTCCAGGTCAGCGACCTGCAGCCACATGAGGTGGGCCCCACAAAACCAGAGGGGAAATGCCCAGCCCACCCACAGCACTGTGGGAAGCAGCTCATTTTATCAGCCACTGCTTTTTTTTTTCTTTTTACCTCTTTAGTATTTCCTAATATTTTAGCATTTCCTAAAAGTCAGGACATTCTCTTACATAAGGGAAAAACCAGGAAATTCACACTGATACAATACTATTATTTTACATACAATAACTGTGCCAATCATTCCACAATTATCTGTTTTCTGGTCTCGGATCTAGTTCACGGCGTCTGCCAAGCTCGTTGGTCCCCTTTCATCTGGGACAGCTCCTCAGCTTTCTTTTTCTCTCATGACCTTGACCCTCTGGAGTACCAGCCAGTCATTCTGTGCAATGTCCCTCATTTTGGGTTTTGGCAGGAACAGTCAAGTGACCCAGGCCTTAGTCCAGAGACACATTTCGTCAGTCTGCCCCGTTCCTGGCCGTGTTAAATTTGCTTACTGCGTTGGGGTGGATCCTACCAGGTTACTAATGTGAGAGTCACTATTTTTCCTTTTGAAATGACTACTTCCCTTTGGGGAGGTATTCTGAGATGAAATAACTATCTTGTTTCTCATCAGATCTTTGCCCACTAGTTTTACATCCATGGATCATTCTTTTTTTTTTTTTTTAAAGATTGATTTATTTATTTATACAAGCACTGGGTACAGTCAGAAGCACGGGAGGGTGAGAGAATTCACCAGAGCCAGAGCGGGGAAAGGCAGAAGGACCGAAGTACACTGCTGAGGGGAGCAGCGGGCGGCAGGAGAGGTCTGCGCGCCATGTGGGACCCTCCTCCGGAGGCCGGGGAGCAGCCGAGGATCGAACCGGCACTGCAGAGGCTGCGGGCAGCTTCACAACCCAGCGCTCAACTGCTGCGCCACGGGGGAGGCCCTCCATGGATCATTCTTGTTGGAAACAATTACTTCCCTGTTGTTTGCCAACTGGTAATGTCTGATTCCA